TGGGCCCGGGTAAGCACAAAATCTCAAATTCGACTTTTTTCCCGGACACTGCCGTTAAGTGCTCGCAGGAAAAAGTAAAAAAGTGCCTCTACACGAATAAATTCCTTCACAAAATATGAAATGTGACTTACATCTTCATCGGAGTTGAAGTCTAGAGATGAAATGGGAAGATCTCCTAATGGCTTACGCGCTGGGGCTGCTACACTTGGCTAAAACAAACATGGATTGATTACTGGCAATGTTCCACCACAGTCAATACCTTCTGTTCTTGTTTATTGTATTCCTCTTCACGGCATTTCTTCTCAAGTTGATGTATGATATTGTTCTCATCATTATCATCGTCGCAATAAACTTCAAAGTTCGAATTCGCAGCTGGTGCAAAAGATCGAGAGCGTGGGAAGGCGGGCGCTGCATTGACCGTAGACGGCTAAAAACATGTAATTAGAGGTTGAATACGCACAAAACCGGTTTCGCGTTCACGCATCGAGGTTATTTCCTATTTCGAAGCGATAAGACCGCCGTTGAATAATTGCCGCCGTATCGGCTCCTACTGTAAAATAAGTTTTTCATGGTCAACCAGATCTTACTACATTCAATATAAAGGCAAAAAATTGAATAAATTATCTTGGACATGCGAAAAAAGGCGTATGCAATTCAATTTGTTTGAAATTACACGCTTTCTTGTACGCAGACTCGAAAAGCAGCTCAAAACTCATGTGCAAAGAGAGGAATAGTCAAGATCTTATCACAAGTACCTTATTGGGTTTGGTTTCCTTGATTCCACGTTTAGTATCCCTTAGTAAATTCGCACTTCCATGTTGACGCGTGAGCTTTCCAGCATGTTGAGGGGCGAAATGGTGAGTTTGGTTCCTTTGCACTAGTGATAATCCGGCGCGTGCAGGCGGTGCCATCGAACTATAAATAACGGAAATCAGGTGTGCGAAAATAATTTTTGTTTATACTAATTCCTGTGAAAGTATTTTTCATTTAAAGTAATAAGTTCCTTCAACAATCACTGACTAGCACGATAACCAACAGCCCTCGCATTTCTGACAACAGTGAATGGGAAGCTAGATGATGTAAGTTTTTATCCGGTAATAAATCCGAAGTAGAAAAGTGGGAAGTTTTGCATTCCTACTTCCTTCAGATGAGTATGTGGAAAGATATAAAAGATAGAGAAAATCAAAAGAAGTTCATTTGTGCTGCACGCAATGAGAAAGGTTAGACACATTCTTCATTCATTCCAAACGGCAAAACTATATTGATAAACATCTTTGTCAAGTACAAATCATTCTTATAATTGGTTGCACGCTTTGAAACTTTCCTAGCTTCCGTAAAAAAGCAATCTTTCCAAATAACCAATTTCCTATCAAAACCTAAATAACCTATTAAAGCTTAATTTACCATCTTCCTACACAAATTCACAAGAAAAGATCTTACCAGTTATTTTTCAGATTTTTCGGGAACATTTCCAATCAATTCCTCAAAGCACTTGATTGGCAATCAGAAAACTACCATTTTTATTGATTTTTTTAGCAAACAATAATGGCCAAATTAATTTTTTTCCAAGAGTAAGTGAGATTTGCAAAGTAAAGCAAGCCCCTGTACTAAAGCATAGATCAGAGAGACTCGGTGACAGCCCTTATCGGAACAAAGTTCGCGCTATCAGCCGTTCCCTTTCGTGCAACATCTTAGGACATGGTGTCATGTATCATAAACAGAACGTCAGATTCTTTTTTTTAAAGCAAAGACAGCAAATATTTCAAAATCAAGCACAATAAAATGAAATGAGTAATGTATCGCCTCAGCAATTAGTGTTAGAAAAAAGAGTCACTGACCTTGAGTTCGACGCATCGCCCATTTAGCCTTAGTTTTCCACGGGAATGGGAAGGGCAAGGGGTTGGGATGCGCGATGCGAAGATGCTAATCTAACGTCGACGACGCACTAGAGGGAGCAAATGGCCGGGCCGAGGCGGCACTAAAATG